ATGTACCTGTATGTATGTACGTATGTTGAACTTCTTTCGCACCGTTCGTCGCCAACCGTGCTAATTGGAGGTGCGGTGGAAGTACAACAAATTAAATTTAAAAAGCAGTATCAAAGAAATGGGTTTTCATTTTTCGATTTAAAGCTTTCGTGACTGCAATGATTCATCTTCTTTGGTTCTTTCGGTAAAGTCACGTAGAATGAGAATAAAATAATAAATTGATAAAATAAAATAACACAATAATATTCTTACGACGTTTCGGCCATAACACAAGCGGCCTTGTGTTGTGGCCGAAACGTCGTGAGAATATTATTGTGTTATTTTATTTTATCAATTTATTATTTTATTCTCATTCTACGTGACTTTACCGAAAGAACCAAAGAAAATGGGTTTTCATTTCGACCCCAAACAGCCTGGCACTCTTCGACCTGAAATAACCAGGCACTTTCCGTTTCAGAACGTGGTGCACAGATCATAACCAAGACCTCAGATTTTTTTAAAAATCAAAACAGAAAAACAGTAACCCGGTGGCAGCATGCATTCTTCCCCACTCTAAGGTACTGACCAATAAGTTCTTAAACACGCAAAGTGTGCAAGTAAGAACATTATAGATACATTCTGTCGTCTCGCACCCTCATCCTCACTTGCAGCCCCCTATCTCAGGACTGGGGTTGATAAGGCCTTCAAGGGCTATAACCCAAACAAGGTGGCCGACAATTACCTATTAACTCTGAAGTTTTAAAGAATAAGGGCACAGGTGGACGAGACTGGCTGGCGACCCTCAGTCGTACACACAGCAGGAACATTGCCTAAAGGGTCACCACCATCAAGCCAGGAGAGCCTCATAACAAACCTTCAAGTCACCACCCGATATTGCTCTTGTCAGCGACCTCCAAGGTGATGGATCGCACCCGACTCGCACACCTTATACCCCCGGGTAGAGGACAACCTCCCAATCGAACACGCAGGCTTCCACCCAGGACGAAGCTGCAGCAATCTGCTTCTGGCATTCACAGCCAAATAAAAACTGACTTTCAAAGAGAACAAGAGAGGCCGCATTTTATAAACCTCTCAGCGTCCTCTGATGCCATCTGGAGACATGGTCTGCTGTAACCAAGTGCCGCATGAGGATATGCTTCCTTTCCTCAGCTCCCAGCAACTGCACTTTGCATGCATCTGTTTGGAAAAAAAAAAACATGCTGGATCCACACTGAATGATGGGCTCCGACAGGGGTTGGTTCAGGCACCATCCCTTTTTAAAATCTTTGTAAGTGATTTATCAACCATGTCCCACAAATAAATCTATACGGATGACACAGCTCTCATAACCCAAGGGCCGAACCTCGAGAATGTTAGTAGGATACTGGCCAATTACTTGGCAGCACAAAACATACTTCCACAGATGGGGTTTTCAGAAACGTGACTAAAATAAGGGCCCACTGTGTTTCATCCTAATAGGGCCACAAGGGACGTGATTGATATGTATTTTGTGTGGCAACTCTGATAAAAACGACCCCTTCCAAAAATACCTCGGGGTCACCCTCAAACTGAAGCCTGACCTTCTGGACTCATCTAAGGGAAGATCCTAGGAAATGTCAAGTCAAGGATTGGACTTCTCTTACAAAACTCTCCAGGGTAACCTGAGGAGTGTCAGCCCCGAGATCTAAGAATGGCCACACTTGGCAATATTGTCGCCTTTTGCGGAGTTACTTGCACGCTCGTCTGGCCGCCAAGCTGACGCTCGAGAACGCTCGACCCCCACCTCAACAACGCAATAACGGAGACCCTCAAAGCAATGCCAACCGATTGTCTTCACTCCCTCGCCGACATCGTACTGCTGGGTTATCTGAAGAGATGCCCGAATAGCCTTCGAATTCACCCGAATTAGATTAAAACTAAACTTTTTATTTTATTTTACCAGGTAAGGCCCAACTGAGCTATATAGTTATTTTTCAGAAGCGACCAGGCCATAAAATTACAACTCAACGAAGCAGCTTATCATGTGGAAATGTATAGCAGCAGCCACATAGTCTACACGCATGTTCTAAATGTGGAGGGGAAAAAAACGGGAAACACGGAAAAAAAATTCACACTACCGAGGGGAGAGAGAACATGCAAACTCCAAATGTACAGGTGTTGTCAGGGTCGAGATCCAACTTACGACATCATACATACCAGGCAAGGGAATTAAGTATCTCGACGCCGAGTCTGCCCATTCGCGAGATGCTCAATAACCCTCCCAGGCCCTGTTTCAAGTCCCATGAACAACTCTGGGATCACAACTTCCGTGCGGAACCGTGCTAGGGATCGCAACAAACATCTTGTTGCACACCCCGACACAACAGCTGAAGGGATTTGACCTACCGCAGACACTGTGATCCACAACATCATACCTGTCAACCCCTTATCAGTGCCTTCTACCTTATAGGCCAATTCATAACTTTTCGGTCACCCCGTGCCCCTTATAAATCTCAAAGTTCATCCTACAAAGTCCCATCACAAGGGAGAAACACAAACAAATTTACTTTTTTTGCGCGTATTGAAACAGCTGTACGCTGTATGGACCTGAAAACTCAATTTCCCTGTACAAAAATACGGGTAAACCGTATGGGTTGACAGGTATGCAACATGCTGATTTCATTATGCAACCGGGTGCTGTTGCCTAACTCCATTAATTGGAATACCAGTTCAGTTCCATTTATTTGGTATAGCCCTGTGAGCCATTCGGCTCTTGAATCTGGTGCAACAGCAACAAACAAAAAACACGAACAAGAAAACATCTTAAAGTGACTATGTGACTGTGCAAACAGAAAATCCAGGAAAAACATCAAAATATTCCTGAAAAAGCACCGTACACCAACGCTGTGTGCAAAAATCCCAGTGGGATGCAAGTCAAACAACAACAACAACCACAAGGCAACTTAGATTAAGGCTATCAGTCTAACTCCGTACTACAACAAACAAAAACATGGCCAAACCCAAAAACGTTTCAAATGCACCAAAATAAAGCCATAAATGCAATGTAAACAGTGTAACATATCATAAATATAGTCCATCAACCTTTGCATGCAACGAAACTCCGAGTGTATCAACGAAACCCGCACCCCAAGCATCATGTGGCTCACACACCTCGATGCTCCAAGTTTTATCTTTTCACACAATCTAGCCGAGACGCCAGAAGCGTCGTGGGAAATCTCGAATGAGAAATCTAACTCTTGCCAAAAGCCCAAAGACCCAGGGTCACACATTCGCCCTATCCTGCAGCCACCCTCCGCCTACTGCGCTTTGCATATCGCCAGATGAAGGCAGCAAAGGTACAAACCGGTGTGTGTGTGTGGTCAGCCATTACAGGGTGCTCAACAGTCATCAGCACAGATACAAATGACTGTACAGTACTTAAATATTGCACCACCATGTTTGACCTTGCCGGTGATAACCCAGAAGGAAACCTGTCAGCACATACGGTTCACCCGTATTCTTGTGCAGGGAAATCTAGTTTTCAGGTCCTTACGACGTAAAGCCGTTTCAATTCGGGAAATTGTATTTTCTCTATTTGTGTTTCTCCCTTGTGATGGGGCTTTGCAGGATGGACGTTGAGATGTATAAGGGGCACGGGGTGACCAATGAGTCTGAATTGGTCTGTAACAGGTATGCAGAATAATGGGGGGGGGGGGGCTGATTGTTCAGCAGTGAGGGGTTTCCAGCCCCTTTCAGCCAACTCGATCCTTCAAACGCATGTTCACACTTTCCGAGACTTTCCTATGACGATGCATTGTCATACAAACAACAATCCGACGGTGGGCTACACCCGCTAAATCCGACTGCGTCTCAAGACTCTGTAGGTACCCAAATAAAAGAAAATAAACCTCTGGGAACACGCGCATCGTGTAGATGATAAAGGGCCGGCCATAAATGACGTCACGCACCTAAGGGGGGGGTCAGACATTTGTGACGATGTGTGACAATGGGAGGGGGGGGGGGGGTTGAGAAATGTGACGTCACGTAAAAATGCGCAACTTTAAATAAATATAGACAACACGTTTTACTTTTAATGAATGTTTTCTCCTACAACATCAGAGTGCAGCGCAACATTAAATACGCACTACAATGACAATAGTTTAAAGCGATTTGGAGCATGTTTTATATTTTTTTTGGGGGGGGCGGCAGAGCTTTGTGACGTCATATTAGAGGGGGGGTCTGACCTTTTGTGACGCCGTGTGACGAAGGAGGGGGGGGGGGTAAAAAATCGTCCAAAATCGCGTGACGTCATTTATGGCCGGCCCCTAAACGGTGTGTAACACACCAGAGTAACACACCAGAAGAAGAGTATACATTGAGCCGACAGCACGGACGTCGGGGAGAGGGAGTTTTTATTATTTAATCGTGCCTCTTCTCGTCTTTGACGCGTTACTCACCCGTCCAAGATGACTCAAGCTCCACCAGGACAGCTCCTTCCGCGCCGATAATTTACAGCAGCGCTTTAAGCCGTTAACCTGCACCGCATTCTTATATGATTGTAATCAGCAGGGTGTAGCCGTTGAGCTATCCTCCTGTCCCTTCTTTTTTTTTACGATCAGAGGAAACAAGAAGATGCTCGGTGTAGTCGGCACTTTGCTCCGTTCATCATTTCGGGGTTTTTTTGTGTTTTTTATGCTTTGCTGAAATGAAAGACCCAACAAAATATATATTTTTCTTTTTTCTGCTCTCCTTACCCCTTCCCTCTCTCTCTCTACCCCCCTCTCTGCCCCTCCTTACCACATCTCCACTCGTCATCTTACACCTGTCGCCACCTCGTCTTCTCCCCGTGTCTGTTCCCGATCTGTCCCCGGCTCCCCCATCTGCCCCGTCTCCTCCCCCGCGGCTCCCAGTGTCCCCGCGTCACTGCGGCCCGAAGGTCACTCACGCTCCCTCCCTCCTCCCTCCCTTCTCTCTCCCCATTCTCTCCATCCCCCTCTCTCTCCTCCACCCCCTCTCCCTGTCGCCCGCCAACTCTCCCCCCCCCCGTCTCTCCCTGCTCTCCCTCCCTCTCCTCCCTGCTCTCTCCACCCCCCCTGTTCTCCCCGCTCTCTCGCTGGGGATGCGAGGCGCCGTCGTTTTGTTCGGAAGCGATGAACACCATGAACAGGGTGAAGCTGGTAGGTGACGGGGTGGGTGGGGTGGGCGATGATGGTTTCACCCATCATCACTATCACCGTCGTCATCACCATCGCCACCATGACCACCGTCGTCATCTTCATCGTAATGGGAGCCTGAACAGACACGCAGTGGCGGTTCCTTCTAACCCGCAGCGCTCCGCGTCCGCCGCTGATCGCGCCTTGCGGAGCAGCAGCAGCAGCGGGCGGCCCGTGTGTCCATGTTTGTCCTGAATCCTTGAACAGCGCTCAGCCCGTACGGGCTGTGTGGACTTGGGGGCCGGGACCCCCCAGGACCCCCCCCCCCACCCCGGGACCCCCCCCCCCCACCCCGGAACCCCCCCCCACCCCGGGACCCCCTCCCCCACCCCGGGACCCCCCCCCCCCACCCCGGGACCCCACTCCGGGACCCCCCCCACCCCGGGACCCCCCCCCACCCCGGGACCCCACCCCTGGACCCCCCCCCCCACCCCGGGACCCCCCCACCCCCTCCTTCAAAGGAACCCATCTACTGGGTGTCAGCGACTTTGTCCCAATTGTCATTGTCAGTAGCAGTTCATTCCTCATCTAATCCATGGGGGGTTTTCTTTCTTCCGGAGCTCAGCCCCGGATTTCTCCGGCTGAGATTATTCCCCGAGTGGCAGGGATCATAATCGTCGGCGGCGTAATTGTGTAAGGACCCACGTGTCTCGCAGCTGTGCAGGGACACGTGGAAAGTAAGTGGTCTTTAACACCGTGCTATGGCCAGGACATATAAACCGGAGTAACGTTTCGCGCAATGAGTCTTCTTCAGGCAGCAAGGTCCACCCAGGGGACAGGCGTGTACCGTGCTTCCTGTGTAGCGGGCGGGGGACACCTCTTTCCCATTGCAACTTGAGACGCCCGTTGCGTTCTTCTGTATTATCGGACTACGTTTTGCTTGCGTCTGTGACCTTGCCACTTGGCGGGCGATACATCTGCTCTGACATAGGTAGCAGAAGTATATTTGTCGGAAAAGGGTTACGGAAACACAATCGGAAGAGTGTACCACGAAGCGGTGGAGAGGCGGATGAGCGGAATTATGTTCAGAGACAGCAAGAGGAACATGTGGATCAGAGAGCATTTGATATTGTATCATGCATTAAATTTACTTAATAAAAGTAAGTGTGCTTGAGCAGGACGCGTCAATGGAAGGATCGGTGGGCAGTGGTCGATACTAATCGTGGAGTGACAGTCAAGGAAGAGAACGCCCGACATGACGTATTTTTGCCGATATAAAGAATTGAAATCAGCTCATGTGTAAAAGCCTAGATCGATTGTTGCATAGTGAGATAACGAGAGATGGCACTGACTTGGGGAGGCCTTCATCCAGCAGTGGACAAATCATGGATAGTGATGTTCTTACCACCTGTAGCTGTGATACTCTTATGCCACGAAGCACGTGTGTGGGATCATGCTAATAGCACTTGTCTGGGATCGTGTCCGTTGTGTTGGAATTGTGGGATCCGGCTCTTAATATTCCAATTCTCTTGTGATCATGCCCCGTGGTAGCGATTATCAGTGTGCCCTGTGTTGTATATCAAATGGAATTCCCCGTGTCCCTTGAAATTCAATGTTGTGGGCTCATGTCCCCAGAAATGTTACTGTGTTGAGAGCCAAGGTAGTGAGAGGTCGTGTGAGCAGGGGTTGCTCTGAGCCCCTCACAGGAAGAAGTGGCATTCAGGCCCCCCTTCCCCTACCTGAATGGACACGTCTCAGTTTGAATAATGTAATACGCCTTCACAAGCCTTCCCAAGGTCAGTGACGTGTGGTATGTTTTGTCGTATTAATCTTATAAGCAACAATGTTCAATCATTGGTGGGTTGCACTGCTGCACATGATGAGGGACATTAATATTGTAATCACACGCTCCTACCATAGCTCTGCACAGCTCCTTACAATCATTAATCTCTAAACCCTGCCAGAAAGCAATTCCGTTTCCTATTCCTTGGGTGTTCAGCAGCATCTTGAGTTACATTTATGTTTAGGTGCTTTATAGATCCTTCTTGCATTGCAAACTACGCGCTGCTGTTGCTGTTTATTTTGTGTGTGCCCTGCGTGTGTGCTCAGTGACGCAACGGTTCAAGCAGGTGTCCGAGTGATGCGTTCTCATCCATGAGGCAGTGGGCACGGTGCCACGGCCTCTCTCTCTCCCACCCCTCTCCCCTTCCTCACCGCTCCCTACCCTCCCATCTCCTCTCCCCTCCCCCTTCCCACCGTGCTCCCTCCACCTCCTTCCACGATATCTCCCCCCCCCCGCCCCACTCCTCCACACTCTCCCTTCCCCGTCCCACCTCACGGTCACCGGGGTCGCTGCTCTCCGTCACCCTCGCCCCCGTCCCACCGCTGTGTGTGTGTGTGCGTGGGACGCGGCAGGGCCGCAGCAGCCCTGCCATGGCGCTCGCGTTCTGCGGCAGCGACAGCTCCAACGTGTCGGCGTACAGCGTGGACCGCGGGGTGCTCAGCAACGGCTGCTTCGTGGACGCGCTCAACCTGGTGCCGCACGTCTTCCTGCTCTTCATCACCTTCCCCATCCTCTTCATAGGTGTGTCCATCTTCCAGCACTCTCGTGTCCTCTCCTCCTCACATTGTGTCACCTCCTGTCCTCTTCTGCTTGTCATTGCAGGTGACTTAATCCCAGCTCTTGATTTCATTGCGCGCTAACCCTTTGTGTAAAGTTTATTTCAATCAGACGCACGTTTGTTTACGTTGTTTTGTCAAATATTCTGCTTTCAAGGTCAGTGACGCATGTTATGTCTAATTGGTAAGGTGGCATTTTTCTCATGCTTTGTATAAATTTGCTGCTTTCTTGAAATTATATTCTTGGTTCTTTCGGTAAAGTCACGTTGAAGGGAAACAACGTGACTTTACCGAAAGAACCAAGAATATGAATCACTGCAGTCACGAATGCTTTAAATCAACATTTCTTGAAATTGTCATATCTTACAGAGGAAAAGTTGACCACACTGTCAAGATCATGTTTTCTTGCAGTGAAAGAAAGAACCCGTTTATATTTTGTGTTAACCTTTCATTCGTTATTAATGGCAAACAGCGGTGACGTTTGTTTCAGCCTGCTCCTCCGAGCAGCTCGTATTCGAGGAGAGAACATTGCGACGATTTAACCGCGTCAGAAGGTTGCCGCAGCTCACTTTCTCACTTACACGGTTCAAGCGACCTCGGTCGTCATCTCGTGGAAGTAAATAATGCAACGCGTTTCTGATTTCCCAGGTAGCACATTTCCATTAAAAAAAAACACAACTTGTTATTGTGACAGAACATTTCAATTTCAACGCCGTTAGTTTCCATTGAGACTACAATCGAACATGTTTCAGCAATTCCAAGTAAAATGCTACGATTCAAAGCAAAATGCACAACGGGAAAATGAAGTGCAAATTACCGGAATTAAATTACGAAAGATGCTAAATAGCCAACGTGGCGACTTGCGGCCAAATAACCCCCACTCCCCGCACGGCATGGGGAGGCTCGCAATCGTCCAGGTGTGGAGGACAGCGTGTACTGGAGAAAAAACAAGGGGGCCTGTGGAATGGCAACCCTCCGATTAGCACGGTTGGCTACGTACGGTGCAAAAGAAGTTCAACATACACTCATACATACGTCTTATGGTAATGCGTGCATGCGCGCGAGCAGGATGGGGCAGCCAGAGCTCCAAGGTGCAGATCCACCACAACACGTGGCTGCACTTCCCCGGCCACAACCTGCGCTGGATCTTCACCTTCGTGCTGCTCTTCGTGCACGTGTGTGAGATCGCCGAGGGGGTCGTGTCTGACGGGTGAGTTTGGCGGGGAATCATCGCAGTCGGCTTGTTGCCACCCATGGGCGGAAGGAGACGAGCAGAGGCAGCCACGGGACGCCGTGGATAGTGAATATAGAGAGAAGCAGTCGGCCGTGTGTCCGTTGAACACGTCAGGCCAGTGCACGTGTGTAATTGTACGTGTATAGCCCGTTTCGATTTAAAGCTTTCGTGACTGCAAGGATTCATCTTCTTTGGTTCTTTCGGTAAAGTCACGTAGAATGAGAATAAAATAATAAAATAACACAATGAAATTCTCACGACGTTTCGGCCACAACGCAAGCGGCCGTCCTCAGGTGAAAGGTTGCGCTGTGGCCGAAACGTCGTGAGAATTTTATTGTGTTATTTTATTATTTTATTCTCATTCTACGTGACTTTACCGAAAGAACCAAAGAAGGTATAGCCCGTTTGTCAATCCGCCGTTGGATAAACGAGGGCTGTTTCACCAAACCCCACCGCGCTGGTCAGTACAGGTTGGTGAAGATACACACCTAATGGGTCGTGCATGACTTACACAGGCGACTTGCAAAACTACGACCTTCATAATGCGAATATAGTTGACAACAGAATCATTACCACAGTTGCCACTCACTATAGAAATCCACCACCACAAACAGCACTGCAACTCCACTTTACTCCTCTCGTAATGATGACTAACAATCAAAACAACATTCGTATATTTCTCATAATAAGTTATATGTCAATTACCTGTTACATTACTTGTTACATTATGATACCAGACTACATGACTGGTTTAAGCAGCTGACAAATTTAAAATGCTTTTTCTCACTTTCAAAGCTAACTGCACCGATTTTTAATAATCTTGCAAATGACTTTTGCCACAATATTTGCTCGGAGAATCGCTGCGCAGTGTAAGATGCTTATCAACTGGCAGTGTCCCACTGCTGTAATCGGCGGAGTTAGCATGCATGCTTGAATACAGCAATTACAATTTACCACCGATGGTAACTATCGTACTATTAAAATCAGTTATTGTTGATAGGCACGGTTAAATAACACTGCTAAATGTCCTGTGACCGGGTGCCAAAAAGACAATACTGTTAGACTTGTTGCTACTGATAACAGCAATAGTCTCTGACAACAAAATTAATTCATATTGCAATTCACTGTTACAAATGATACTGAATTTACAGGTTACTACCGATAGTGATTGAAACATAATACTTATTCTTAGCTCTTTCGGTAAAGTCACGTTGAAGGGAAACAATAAAATAATAAAATATATATTAAAAACAATAAAATTCTCACGACGTTTCGACCATAACACAAACGGTCGTCATCAGGTGTGTCGGTCAGCATTAATTTATTTATTTTTAAACGGTGTGTTTATTTATTTATATTTTATTATTTTATTGTTTCCCTTCAACGTGACTTTACCGAAAGAGCTAAGAATATGAATTACTACAGTCACGAAAGCTTTAAATCAAAATATAATAATACTTGATTCACTCGTGCTCAACGAAATGACATATACATGACACTGCTATGTGTCATACTCTTGATGCTAAACCAACAGTGCTAGGATTGCCAATTCTTAAATCAGCTCGTTAAATAAAGCGATAGCGTTTTCTGTGTATGAGTGTATGTTCAAAGTTATGGAACTCTAGCTCTATAATAAGTCTGCAAGTAAAAAAAAAATGTTCCAGCGTTATGTTTTGACTTTCTGCATCCCCAACGAGGGTTATTTGCTGCATCAGGGTTTTTTTTATCGACGTAAATTAAAATAACGTCAAAATATAGTGCTGTACAGTACAATATAATACTGTGCAGTACAAGCAACAAAAATGGTACGTCACCAGCCATGATCTATCCACCGCTGGATGAAGGCCTCACCTCTGCTCCATGGTCTTGTGATGTGACGATCTATCCGGCATCTGCAAATGAGCTTCATTTGTCACGGGGCAGACGACTTGCCCTGGCTGCCACGCCATCGCCAGTTTTGACCGCTGTGCCTTCGGCCTTCTCACAACGATTTCCTCCCCGAGCCCACGGTACTTTTCTTAACAGTCAATATGTTGTCTCGAGCGCGCATATGTTTCCCCGAGCAATGGGTTTGATTTTCCTCTCCAGTGTAATTTCAAACGTGCACCTCTCCTCTCATGCTTCATTTGAACACTTCCCAGATTTTTGTCAATTTTCTTTGTCATCGTCCATGTTTCTGATCCATATTTCGTAGCATGCAATACACACTGATTAAGCGCTGTCTGCCCGGCACATTGGTACGATGACTATGCACAAGTACACACGTAAAACTGAACATTTACACTGAATTGTATGAAGAAGAAAATAACAACATATATTGGAAGGGGAGTCAGACAAGGTCACACATTATTAAAGGTTATTTAAAGCGACTGTAGAATATGTTTGCCCAAATTGGATTGGAATAAACATAAATGGAGACAGTATGAACCACTTTGCTGATGGCAGTCATTGTAACAATCAATGGAATAAACGGTACAAACTGTCAAAGTGCTGTTTATGGAGACTTTAAAACCATTAAATACAATTTGACTCGTGACGTCACTTGCAAGAGTAGTTGAGTGCGTGCCGACGGCAATGGTCCAAATTGGCTGAATCTGAAAAAGTAGGCGCAAAATTCCCAAATTGGAATTTTACTCAGCAATCATCTTCCCCCTTCCACGGAAATTTGCCAGGACCCTCCTTAAGAAGAGTCATGGGACACAGTGAGATTTGATCCTGGGTATAAACAAGATTAATAATACAAATAGTGAATCAAATGAGTAAAGAACCCGTTGGGTCTGCAAATGAAAATAAGAGACAGCTGTAATGTTCATGCTCTTCTCACAATCCTCTACTAGGAGCACTAAAAATAACCTGATTTGTACATAGTACTATTCTGTATTTTACCAGGTAGGCCCCACTGAGCTATATAAAGCTCTTTTTCAGCAGTGACCTGGCTACAAATGAGAGCTCAACGAAGTGGCTTATCGCGTGGAAATGTATAGCAGCAGCCAAATACTCTAAACGTGTTGTTTCTAAATGTGGATGGAAAAACCGAAGGACCCGGAGAAAATTCCATGCGACCATATTCAGAAAGGGCCATGAAATATATTGAGTTTTTTTAATGTTCTATCGTAATTCTGGTGAAATAATTCAGTTAGATCAATTTTAAATTAACTGTGTCAGCCATCTTTATTCATTACTCCCACCTCATCGGTGTCACTATCTATTATACATCTTACGAACTTCTTCTTCGGCCTTTTCAATTCATTACAAGTTTATTTGTTCTGTGGAAAATCCCGTTTAGTCATTTGCCCAGATAGTTTTGGAGGTGACGGTCCACAGCAGCCACTAAACAACAGCAACAGGCTTATAGTTGTGGCGGAGAGGAGCCCAGCCAGCCAGGAAACAAGGCCATGGATTATTGTTAATAGTGCATGGTGTATCACCACCTCAGAGGCAGCGGGGCCTGACTGCGTAGGGGTTTCTCACGGCGCTGCACGTGTCCACTCCGAGTGGCCATGAGCGAGGTTGCTGCGGGAGAAGGGGAACGGGCACAGGACGAAGCGTTACACTGCAACCTGTAATGCAACATACGGTAATCTTGCCTTTGGCAACAGACGTTGCACTTTGGTGGATTGTTTCATTATTGATGCCCCAGGGTGTTATATGACTGCAGGTCAAAGGATCGTGTATCCTGCTCAGGATGTGAAGATTCCCTTTGTATGCTGTGGAAATAAATGTCAATCGAAAAAGAACAATTTCCTCCTCAAATAACCCTTTTGCCCGCACATCTCATGTGGCATCTGTTGACCTCAAGCCTTGAATGACGGATAGAAAATTACTAAATTGGGACTACACAGAGTAATTGTTGCCCCTTTTGACAGACTAATGCCCGATTGTAGGCCAGGTGCCCTGAGCCATCCCACATGTTCTAGATGAGATGTGACGTAAGTCGCTTATTGTGTACAGAAGCGATGGAGAGAGCAGTGAGCAAGGAGAGGATAACAAAACACCAGACGAAGGGAGATTTCAAAAGAGCAGGTAGGGGGTTGTTGAGTATGCAAGCGTTACAAGATCTGGCATAAGAAATGAAGAGATATTAAGGTGTTGGTAGTTTGCCAAAATGGCCTCGAGCTAATGTCTAGGATATCAATACGTCGAGTTCCCTTTTACTAATAACCTGAAGATTTCCTCTGTCCTGAACTCGTGACATTGCAGATAACATGATTCATTCAGCACACAACTTCCCATATGTGCAATACTATTAAAAGATATTTGGGATGTGTTCACTTCGTCTGTTTTTACATCATTTGATCGGTGCTCATAGATAGATTTCGGACGTCTCATTGAAACTGGTGACGGTTAAAAGGTAAAGGCGCAGCCCAGCAATTTCTTGCTCACGCCACTGTATGTGAAAGAGCCTCCACTGAATATCCTAAAGAGGATATTTGGCCCACTCTTTCACACGGCCAGACATCTTGGAAGTGATGGAAGTCCCCACACTTTTCCCTGCCATGCGCGACCCGAAAAAAGCTATGCGTTTAATCACAGGACCACAACACGCTGCACGCAATCGCTCTCCGAGGTGCACGCGCACATTTAACACATCGGGAAAGTTCGTTCGAGGTTTACAAAGTGAATCCCAACACAAGCCCTGGCTCTTGCTGTTTGGTAAAAAAAAATCATTTTTTATATGAATAGGATGGATGTCAGGAAGACTCTGTTTTAAGGGTATCGTGTCCATTCACAGTGTTGCTCTTTTCTACAAAGTTAAGGGGAATTGGGAATAGGTTATAGACTTTATTGTTGATCGGCTTGACAATGCAAATAAGAGAGATGTTGATAACAGAGCTGCCAATAAATATTTTTTTTATATTTAGAAGCTTTAGCAATGGCAGTTGCAACAATAGTAAAATGTATTCTTTTTTTTAATATAAACACCAAAATAGGCATATTGCTTAACACATCAGCTATTTGTAAGAGCGGTGGGAGTT